TACCGATGTAAAAGATGACCCCACAAATTGAGCAACCCGAGTTCAAGCCCGGGTTAGTCCAACGGTCTTCACGTTTTGTTCTTTGCAAAAATTTATGTAACTGCTTATCTAAGGCTTTATTCAGAGAGATATGCCACTTTACACAAACTTTTTTTCCTAAAATTGGGGGGAAAAAATCAGAAAAAAGTGTCTATTTAACGTGTCTCGGACTTAATTTGTATAAATTTGGTCAATTATTGAGAATGGAGTTTGCATAACAGCTGGATTACAGGCATAGTGAAGTGATATGCTTGTCTGGGGCCTTGTTCAGAGTAATATGATAAAGGAATGTTGTTGAAAGAGAAATAACCGAACAAGTAGAATCAACTCACCTTGATTGCTTCCTTTGCAATCCTTATCCGCTAAAACAAAATGAAACTTTGTAAATTTAACAGTGATGGCATTTGTAGTATGGCTCGGGGTAATACTTAAAAAATGATGGAATTAGCAGTCTGACATCTTGAGTTCGAACCCTGGTCAAACCAGTCAGCCCAAACTTTTTATACCTTCTAGGATATTTTGAATTAGATCAGATGTCGTCATACTGATAACAGGAACAACACAATAATCATTTTAGGCTCTGATTACAATAAGAAATTATTATTAGGTTTTAAGAAAAAACGTCAAAACCTGAGAATAAGAGTCGACACTTTGTACGGAAAGAAATTCATGTGGTGAATATAAATTGATTTCATACTGAAACTATAATTCAAACAAGTCAACTCACTTTAATACCAGGTTTGACAGTACGCATCTGTAAAGCAAAAGCTAAACTTTACGAAGTAAAACTACAGATCTGGTTGCAAAATCAGAATACCAGGAAAATAAATAGAGTTCAACAAATTTTCTGTATTGCTAGCGACCACCCTGTATATTTGCTTATGCATAGATAACACACTGGTTATATGTGGCCAAGAGATCAGAGAACCTGAGTGAGACCTTTGTGCGAAAACTTCGAAAAAGTAAAAGGGATTTGACGATATTTTCTGTAATAATCAGTAATTTATTTTATCACAAACCGAAAGTACACATTGGATGAACATAGTTAGAATGATAAAAAAAATGCACTTCAGTGTAAATAGAGACGCAATAGAAAGTGAAAATCGAGAGAAGCAGAATCGATTTTGAACAAAACTAACGCAAAAGAAGATCCTATTCGTAAATGGGCCGATATGTGATTTACTTTATTTATAAAACTTGATTCAAATTTATTACAAAGCGATTTTTGAGCAACAGTGGCGTAACCTGGTCAAAGAAACTTTTTCAAATTTTTAGGAGTAATATGAAGGTAAATTTAAATTCATTAAAAATTTTACTACTTTGCTTAGAAAGACAAAAACGAAGAAATAGAATATCTCGGGAGGCTTGGGGAAAACTGGTGCAGGGAGTGGTTTTCATCGTTTCGCATAAAACGGTTTGCAACCTTAATTTTTGCTGGGGGGAACCCTTGTTGTGAACCAATAATCACAGGGGCGACAACTTGCTTTTCAAAACTCGACAATTATGCGTAATTTGCAATGGGGCACTAGAGGATCGCAGTCGAGATGATGTAACCAAGCTGGTAACACGCAATAAATACATTTGAATCGATATTTTTTCCGTGGCAAATATCCAATGACTGCGGAAAAGAATCGACATAGCCTAACCTATTACACACTGACCGAGGTAAATGTTCAAAGGATTGGACTCGATATCCATAACAAATAAATTTAACCGACTCACTTTTTCTTTGACTTCATTCTGAATAGAAAAATAATTTCATTGAGAAAAATTTGTGAAGAAATAGAGATGAGTAGCTTACATAGCAAGGTATGGAAATAAAAAGTTAATATTGCATTAAAATATTAGGATAAAACGAGAATCACTTTCAATAAACTCATCGAGATTCCAAAAGAAGCCGTCTTTATCTGCAAATGAGAGATTAAACATAATTAATTATGAGCATGGTGTGGCATTTGCTTTAGGTAATGGTTACGAAATTGTTAACAGTGGATGACCCATCGTCTGTTACATTAACCTGTCTTTACCGCATTATTTACTGAAGTGTGGGAATGGGGAGGTCTGCTTTATTTTATTGTTACATTATGTAGTCCAGTGGTTCTCAACCTTTTTCAGTTTGCGAACCGGTAAAATTCCAAAACAAATTTTGAGGAACTGCGAACCTTCAAAATTAACCAAAAATGTCATGAATACAAAACATAGTCGAAAGAATGCAATTACGATAAAATGAGGCGGTGCAAAAGAAGATATATATATAATCTAATTTAATGAGGAATTAGCTGCTGTCGTTTTGATAATATACGTTTTAAACGCGGCTCTAATAAAGTTTCTGCAAGGCGACGTAAAGCGTTGACTTCCACGCAATTTCTCTGTTTGGTCTTGATGAGAGGTAACGTTGAAAAGCTTTTCTCACAAAGGTAACTTGTACAAAAACCAGCAGTAATTTTATGGCTCTGTCACTGAGCTCGGGATATTCGTTTTCAAGAGCATTTCAGGGCATGTTGTAAAAAGTTGAAGTAGCAGTCTCTTCCTCTGTCCTGTCAACACCACCAACTGGGTTTTCATGTCTTCATTTTACTATCAAACATCGCTAAATTATAGGCCTACTGTCAAATTACGGAACGTGCAAACTTTTCAATCAGGTACCGTACTATGTGCTATCAAACTACTCGGTTATGAAGTAAGCCGCTGTTATGAGGCCATAGATTTAACGAACATCCAGCCGTTCAGGGCTTAAATCATGGGTGACGAACCTATTTGCTATCGCGAACCATTTTAACCAGTCACCGCTGAGTAAGCGCCTTTTTAGTCTTACTACCTGTTAATTTTTATTACCAAAAACAAACAACTGCATCCATACGGATATATTGCAGCATAAAATAAAAAGGAACGGTCAATGAATATTTTGTTCAGTGACGAATTTTGGAAATTTTTAGCTTTACTAAGCGCTTTATATAAGGACGAACAGATGAGTCGAGATGACTTGGCAAGTCTCAATTGCATACTAAGATTTTCGTCTGTCAGTCATGAGCTGTATCGATTAAGTTGGGATTTTTTGTGGCGTCATCTCACTCGGCCGCGAGCTCCGCCTGGATCGAGCGTTCATGATCCGAATTTCTGTTCGATTACCGCAGCATTTTTAGTCTACTACCGGGGTATCACTGTACAATCAAAAAAATAAATTGTAGTCTTTGATATTTTATCGCAGATCTAGGGATTTCTCTAACGTTGACATCTAGGAAATAATCTTTAGTGGTAGCATTGCGGTAGAGCGGAAACTGTTTTGCAAGAAAAGATCAAATTTGTATGATTCGTAACAATGCAAAAATACGAATCAAAACTAAATATAATCCGGGTAGTTTGAAACACTATTTTATAGCTGCGGATTGTCGTGATATTTCATAGTAATGTTCTTACTTTGTCGACGCAACCGCAGGTTATATTAAACACACAAATTCAAATTAATAAAGAAAAATATGAATAGACTCGCATTGGCCGATTGCATACTTTGCACAAATGCAGAATTTTATAGCTGTGGACATTAATTTTGACATTGCGCTCAAACGTATTTCAACCTATGTCTCATCGAACCTTCCTTCATGACATTTTGTGTCGAGTTAAGATTCAAAATTCTAGTTAATAATGCTTCAGGGACGTATTTCGGGAACTTTTGTACAAAGCCCCCGCCATAGAAAACACTACCGCCTCCGTTCAACTAAAATAAAATTAGAAATAATCCAGTTGTAGGGCTGGGAATATAGCTTGCGCCGGAAATTCAAATCTTCCTTCTCATTACGAACCTGAACCGCAACTGTATATTTACTATTCCAGAACGTGGTGTTTTTCCTCTTTCGAGAATCCGCATTTTGCAAGACTTCGAGATACAAAAATGTGACCATGAATCCTCTTGTGACCATTTAACCGATTATTGAAACGTGGGCATTTTTTTAAGACTCTTCCGTGTTTTAATCATCGAACTGAAAGTTATAACACTTTTTATTACTTAATATCTGTGGATCGTGCGCCAAAACATTCCACGAAATAACGTTACTCTTGCGTTAAATCTTGTGGCGTTTCTGATAAGGATAGCTAACTATGCCCCAAGACAATGGTCATCTTTGGATTCAGTTGTTAAGGTATGGACAAATTAGATTGTCAATGATGATCCATTAGAATAGATGTATTGGAAATAGTGTTGCCAGTAATATTAATAATACTGACACTGAATGCTTCGCGGGCCGCACGAAATTCTCTGGAAACATCGACAGTGGACTTCTCATCAAGTTTGGTTGTTAGACAAATACCGGTACTACGATTCAATAGGAGTTAAAAAATCACAAAATGAATACTTTGTATTTTGCAAATATACTTTGGAATATATTTGGCGAACCGGCACCGGTTCACGGACCGGCGTTGAGAACCACTGATGTAGTCATTAGTAGTATTCGAAATAGGAAAAAACGAAGATTGCAACTGTTTATATGAAAGCTCATCAATAGCTCACACATATTCAGGTTAAATATGCACTTGGTCTAAGGAAAACGATTTTTTAAATATTTTTACGGAAATGAATTTGTCAAAATTATGATATTTTTCGCATAATCACTAATTATCCACAATATCGGTCGATATGGATCGAATATCACTGATTACCAACACAAGTTATGCGGAATGGCAACAGCAAGGATTTACAGTAGCTTGGATGCTTAACTAAAGCTTTGTTCAGAGAGAACACTCAATAACCTATTGAATTAAAGGTGATCAAGCGAGGATATAAAAACAAAATTTTAAATGGGAGAAGTGGTTGGAATTGTGACGATGTCTGAGCGGATTTAGTCTGATGTTAGAGTCAGAGCTGTATTGTATAAGTCAGTGGAGTCGGATATCAGACTACAATTTCGGAGTGAAAGAATGTTTCATTTGTGGAGTAGGGTGTAGTGGTGTTGGGAGTCAAAATTTTGGTCAATCAGTATTTGAAATGTTGAGTTTAGCATCTGATTAAAAATTTCATAGTAACATTAGAGGCCTGGTACTGCTAAAATATCTGTAAAATTACCAGATATTACCTGTGATTTATCAATATTGCAACTGTTACAAATTCATTTACAATGACATACCAAGCAACACCTGTCAATTATCATGGACTGTTGTTGGATAGATTTAGTGAAATTAAATTCGATTTCAAACAAATAGTAGGTTTATTCAATCCTGACCTTGATATTCGAACTTTGCATTGATGAAGCAAGGAGTTTGAGATCAGATGATGTGAGAGGAACACCACTCAGCCATAGGTCATCGAGACGTGAACAACGACCGAGAACAGATTCCAGAGTGAATTTATCACTTGGAGTGAGAGGCATGTAGTTGAATCTAATCTCACGAATGGATGATTTGATGACGTCATCAGCACTATTACCACACTCATCGAGTGCATGCATGAGCTCGAGTAGATCTTCCCTCTGTGCTGCCTCTGTTCCTTTGAACTTACGTTGAAACCAGCCAGGTCGAATCAGACCCTTCAAGCTTGATAACAAGATCGATCTCTTATTCTTCAGATCAATACCTTTCAAGCAAAACGTTGCAGTCAGAAAATTATTCATTAAATCATAAAGTTTGGTTTACTTTGGTTCTCTAACGAATCAGCCAATAGAATCAGTGGAGCGCGACTAGTGAAAATAACTAAACCTAACAGGCGAATACCAATCAGGGACAAGCGTTTGATAAATATTAATGGGAACATCCTCCCTCGCATCCCAAACAGCAATATTGATCACATTTTAAATATGGCCGTTCTGACTTTTGCATTATAACATCAGTTTTCTCCCAATTCAATGCTAGTTGGACAAAATTTGGAGTTTGGAATAATTTCAAAAATCTGGACTGCTTGGAATGTTATTGGTGAAAATCGGACTATACATAATTTCAATTTTTTTTAAAAAGAATGTAAGAATTTTATTCCACTGAGCGTCTCTACAAGTCCATTAAAGATGGCTTACAAACCGCGATTTTTTTTATGTCAAGTTTATTTCTTCATCAGCTGATAAACTGGGAGTAAGAGGTGAAAGTTTTTCAAGCCTGAGACGGTTGTCAATAATAAATATCCTATGGCTACGGTTAAAGCTGTGGTTGGCATGTTTGGAACATGATTTCTGTATCTCAGACTATGTAATGCAAATACAAGTCAGTGATTAAGCCCACGATTAGTGATAAATAACAATGTTTCGTCTTGTTGGATATTAAGCGAGCTAAAATAAACATATATTGAATCACTCATACTTATGGGAAACGCCCGATAACACACACAAACGATTTCTACTAACGATGAGCTCACCCTGTTTAAGAATTCCAACATCAGCTGCCTCTCCTATTGCAATCTTGGATGTCTCGGGATTCAATATAGAGCCGCATAAGATTCGACGAACTACGACCCAATGCGATAAATGGAGTTCAGTTGAAACAAACTTTTCGAATTCCTTAGTCGACATTTCAGCAACGTAAAGGGCAGAAAGTGCTTCCTGTTCGACCAAAAGATAGGATAAGAAAAAATACCAGAATGAAAAACGGAATTCGAATATATTCCTAAGATCAAACCAGTTTCGCAGCCACCAGATCATCCTTCCGAGTTATCTTTTATGTTTAACTGCCTCGTTTGTTTCCTCAATGTATATTACTCAACTTTTACAGTTAATATTATTCCACATTTGATCCAAAACTGTGATGGGTGAATACCGTCGTCAAAGAAAATTGTCACAGCACAATTACCATGAGGGTATGTCGTCGTATATTTAATTTGGAATTTGTAGCAGATGTATCTACAGACGTTTGCTCAAAGCAGGATCACTAAAACTCATTCAGAAATTAAAAAGAATGTTTCCTGAGCAAAGCTACAGGCGACACCAAAGTTGGACAGGATTGCATGAATGAGACTGCTAAAGCAATTTTCATTTCGACACGCCGGACAGTGACAAATATCTTGTCAGTTTGTGTGCATTGTGCACTACTGTAATAAAGCTGTTTTCAATATTTACAACGCTGCCAATGGGTTTTTGTGTGTGTAGGTGGATGAAGGTCTGTTCTGGAATAGCTTGAGAGTCATGCTACACTGACGTTATGACATCATCAGCAACCGGGAAAGTGAAATAAATAAAGTTCTCTCGTTTCATCAAATTAGAAAGATAAAAAAATTTCACCCGGTCCCGACAACCTCACCCTCTTGCAACCCCGTTTAGTGAGCCTCGACAGTTTTGAGTGATTGATTTAAGCTTTTCAACAAATTGACAGAAGAGATTTATTCGTTTGTCGTCGGTGATTCAGTTTATCAACGAGTTTCAAACGAGATGGAGGAGAGAAGGATGCAGGTAGTGCCACAGAAGCAGTTTTAATGAGTCTGGTCGATAATAAGTTGTTCAATCCGACCAAATATATATTGGTTTGATATTAAATCGGAACCGACAAAAATTACACAGGGCTGAGACTACTACTCTTCTATGAAAATGAGAAGCAATTGAGAAAACATTATTCTGTACCTTGTATTGGAAATTAACGATCTGGTGCATGCGAACCTGGTTTGAATTCGAAGCAAATAAGAAAGTAAGTTTAACTAAACTCGAAATTGTAATTTTTTCCATCAAATCATTGAAATTTTTTTTTATAACCGAAACACGTCAAACCATTTGTTACATGAGTTTTTCTACTTCCAAGGTACCACGCCCTAAACCCACGTCTTAGATTACAAACCTGAATGGACTGGTGGATGAAAAAGAATACAAAGTTCTTTTCGAAGAGCCGTTGGTTGATTCCAATTGATCTTGGTATTGGGATCATGATATCTTTCAAGTGATCAATGGTGATTCCTTCCGGTAAATCTGATTCGGCGAAAGTAACTTTCTTGTTCCTCATTCCGTCAAAGGACATTTTCTTCAACCTGTTGAACACTTCGTAAATAGATACATCCTCTCTTCCACCAGCTCTCATATGCTCTGATTTCATGGTATTCAGCAAGACAAGAAGCAGGATGTCGGTCATTTTTTTGGGATTGAGGTTTCTGTACAGTATCAGCACGGTTACTGTAAGAACGAGAAACATCGGAATTGAGCAAAGAGAAAGTAAGCCGCGTGCTTCTTTCTTGAGACGATTCATGACATATTCGCCATGCTCTCCGCTAAATGCGTAAATGAGCTTTTCCACACTTTCTTCATCGAGACCTGCTAAAGCAATGACTCTCTCAGGACGGACTTCTCCTTCGAAGAAACGTAAAACGTGTTCACGTGATGAGTAGAGAAGCTTGATGCCGGGTAAAAGCTTTTGAGCGAGGATGAGATTTATAAGGAGCTTGGGATCTGCTTTCTCATAGTGATTGGCGTTACCGCGTAATTTGCCAAGATCTTGAGGGGAAGCGTATTGATCAGCTCCATCAATTACGAGAAGAAACTTTTCGGAATGCAATCTGATCCATCCAACACCATGATTGCGAACATCTTCATCCAAATCTGTATCTCCAAATAATAATTTTCCGAGACTGACCTCCTTCTTAGATAGAAGATCTCGAAAGTTCAAGTGACGAACAACCTCGACTCCTCTAAGCTCTGGTATCTTTTGATCAAGCACATCAACGGAGAAACTTTTAGACATTTCGGTTTTGCCATATCCGGCTCCTCCGACTAGAGCAACTCTCGATTTGCCATCCGAAAAAAAACTTTCCATGAATATTTCTTTGCCAGGTTGCTTCTGAGTGTGCTGGCTGAAACCAAGCTCTGGCTTATATTCAGCATTCTCGGCAGCGCTTCCATAGAAATCTACATCCACTGTACGAGGATGAATCTTGATATCCGGAGTTGTAAGACATCCGATAGTTGAAGCTGGCTGTGCATTTTTCCTTGTTAAATCGTTAATTTCTTTCTTGAATATCTGAACCTTTTCTACAACGTAGATGCAAAAAATAAATTTAACGTTCGCCTTATTTCGTATATTGCACACTCATAAAAATGAACACTTATGACACTTTTACTACTGTTGCACTATTTTTCAGATCTACCCCCATTATATTGATCGCTAGATGGAGTAGATGAAAAACAAACATCTTTTGAAATATCGAGAAATATTGCATAAATTATTTTATTTTTCAAAATATAACAATATTATATTACGTCTGAACATTCGTTTACTTTAAACGATAAAGAGTTCACTTCAATTTTTTTCAATATAAAGATATTTAGATTTGAGACTTCTTCCAATGAATAAATTCAAACAGCAATGGATAGAATGTATATCAGTCTCTTATCATTGAAATATGTTATGCTGGTTTGCATCATCCTCATGACTTTGTAGCTCTGTTCTTCTGTTGTATATCAGTTCTCTCCAACCAGACATTCTCCATTTATACAATGGTATATAGGAAACATTAAGAGTTCAATTGAACCAAATTTTTCCATTACAACATTAAATTTCTCCATCAACCTGAAACTCAGTCCAAAATTTTGACAGCATTCAACTTTGACTTGCCTCATTTAGGACTTCGAGCAAACCATCAGAAACAAATCACACTGACTGAAGTTAAATTAGATTTTCGCATTTCCCAAAAAGCCGATGGGAATAAAACCATCAAGCAATGTTGAGAATATGCTGATGAACTCAGTTTATCTTTCTGTTGCAATTTGTGTCCTTTGTTAGTTACTGCAAATTCGTGTCCAAGTTTACAACATATATTCGCTTTATTTTATATATCATGTAATTGTGCAGCGCATTTGTAGTTGTGTCTGTTCTTTCTTCATTCATATACATTATTCTGTTTGAACGTAGCAATCTCAAATTGCATATTTGAGATAATATGGTGCATGTCGATGAACTGTGCGACTTAGGTAAACAAGGTCTTGTGGATATTTTATTTTTATTTTTTTTTTAATTTAAAGATTCTGACACATATTGAGGCAAATAAATATACATCGATCGTTTAGTTTTTGCAACAGGAGATCCAATACTCATTTGCGACCTGTAACCAAAACGTGACAAAGTTCTTCGATTTTCTGATTACCTGCACGTGCCTATCAGAACTGGCCCAGTAGCCAACTAAGCGTTTAAGCACGCATCATTTGCCGATGTATTGAATAAATCTTCAGATCCCCACTCTAGGCTACAGAGTGAAGAGTGATCTTGTCAAGCTCAAGTAATTCTGTTCAAAATCTAATTTGCCAAAGAGTTGATTGGCGAAAGTCAGATGCGATAACGTCGTAGTTTGCAATCTCTTATCAGCACCGTTTTTTAAGGGACATATAATTTCAAGAATTCATAAATGAAATATTTTGATTAGACCACTTTTTCCGATGTGCTGTGAACTGACGTAACGGTATCCTACTACCAGCTCTATTGACATGATTATTATCAATTTGGTTTGTATTATAGTCAACTTTGGCTTAAAGTCAAGTCATTATAAAACAATTATAAAACATTATAAAACAAATTACCAAAATTATCTTAGAAGGTGTTTCTCATATCAAGTCGCTTTCAATGACTGATATTGTTTTAATAAACTGACTCGAGTAATAAAAAAAAATAGCATATTCTCTTGCCACGAAATACGCGAGTATATTTGTGAGCTTGCGTTATATCATAGTTCAACTTGTTCATGAACTTAAAAATGATTTGACCTAATCAAACAGCAACCTTTAATATTATCTCGCATTCTTGTGACATATATGAATTCAAAGTCCTTTTTTTCCTTTTATTAAAGTTATCGTGTGGAGGCATTCACGGGACGAGTTTTCAAAACTGACCTCTCGCTCGATTTATAACCTTCCGATGTCGTGAAAGGCTCTATGTTATGCAGTTGGATACGAAACTACAAAACGAGGTCAGAGTTGCTTGGCTTTATGGTTACCACGCATCGCCATATTTTATGAGCATTTTTATTTTCTCTGCGTATTAAAATATGTATGTGCTTAAAATATGCGGGATATTCTATCACTTATTCATTCTTAAAACTTTTAAATTCTTAAAAAAAAAACTAATGAACTCTGTGAAGACCCCTATTTTAGACAAATTATTAAACTTGTAACAACTGATTTGCTGCATCAATACTATATTTTCGAAAATGATATCTTTAAGCAATACAAACATATCAGTCGAGAAAAAATTAACTTTATGTTGACAATGTAACCATAGGTATACTATCGTGTCTCCCTGAAGCTATATGTAAATTTTGAATTTTGTGTACGAATATTTGGTGAAAAAATATAAGTAACCCTGTTATAGTGTCTCCCTAAAGTTTATGCAATTATAAATTTTGTGTGCGAAGTTTTTGGAAAAAAAGTTGAGTAGCCCTGTTATAGTGTCTCCCTAAAGATATATGTAAATCATATATAGTTGTGTGAGCAGATTTGGTGAAAATAGTTAAGTAGCCCTGTTATAATGTCTCCCTAAAGATATATGTAAATCATATATAGTTGTGTGTGAAGATTTAGTGAAAATAGTTGAGTAGCCCTGTTATAATGTCTCCCTAAAGATATATTTAAATCTTTAATTTTGTGTGCGAACCTTTCGTGAAAATAGTTAAGTAGCCCTGTTATAGTGTCTCCCTAAAGATATATTTAAAATTTTTAATTTTGTGTGCAAACCTTTGGTGAAAATAGTTGAGTAGCCCTGTTATAGTGTCTCCCTAAAGATATATGTAAATCATATATAGTTGTGTGTGAAGATTTAGTGAAAATAGTTGAGTAGCCCTGTTATAATGTCTCCCTAAAGATATATGTAAATCATATATAGTTGTGTGCGAAGATTTGGTGAAAATAGTTAAGTAGCCCTGTTATAGTGTCTCCCTAAAGATATATTTAAAATTTTTAATTTTGTGTGCGAAACTTTCGTGAAAATAGTTGAGTAGCCCTGTTACAATGTCTCCCTAAAGATATATTTAAATCTTTAATTTTGTGTGCGAACCTTTCGTGAAAATAGTTGAGTAGCCCTGTTATAATGTCTCCCTAAAGATATATTTAAATCTTTAATTTTGTGTGCGAACCTTTCGTGAAAATAGTTAAGTAGCCCTGTTATAGTGTCTCCCTAAAGATATATTTAAAATTTTTAATTTTGTGTGCAAACCTTTGGTGAAAATAGTTGAGTAGCCCTGTTATAGTGTCTCCCTAAAGATATATGTAAATCATATATAGTTGTGTGTGAAGATTTAGTGAAAATAGTTGAGTAGCCCTGTTATAATGTCTCCCTAAAGATATATGTAAATCATATATAGTTGTGTGTGAAGATTTAGTGAAAATAGTTGAGTAGCCCTGTTATAATGTCTCCCTAAAGATATATGTAAATCATATATAGTTGTGTGCGAAGATTTGGTGAAAATAGTTAAGTAGCCCTGTTATAGTGTCTCCCTAAAGATATATTTAAAATTTTTAATTTTGTGTGCGAAACTTTCGTGAAAATAGTTGAGTAGCCCTGTTATGGTGTCTCCCTAAAGATATATTTAAAATTTTCAATTTTGTGTGCGAACCTTTGGTGAAAATAGTTGAGTAGCCCTGTTACAATGTCTCCCTAAAGATATATTTAAATCTTTAATTTTGTGTGCGAACCTTTCGTGAAAATAGTTGAGTAGCCCTGTTATAATGTCTCCCTAAAGATATATTTAAATCTTTAATTTTGTGTGCGAACCTTTCGTGAAAATAGTTGAGTAGCCCTGTTATAATGTCTCCCTAAAGATATATTTAAATTTTTAATTTTGTGTGCGAACCTTTCGTGAAAATAGTTGAGTAGCCCTGTTATAGTGTCTCCCTAAAGATATATTTAAAATTTTTAATTTTGTGTGCGAACCTTTCGTGAAAATAGTTGAGTAGCCCTGTTACAATGTCTCCCTAAAGATATATTTAAATTTTTAATTTTGTGTGCGAACCTTTCGTGAAAATAGTTGAGTAGCCCTGTTATAGTGTCTCCCTAAAGATATATTTAAAATTTTTAATTTTGTGTGCGAACCTTTCGTGAAAATAGTTGAGTAGCCCTGTTATAATGTCTCCCTAAAGATATATTTAAATCTTTAATTTTGTGTGCGAACCTTTCGTAAAAATAGTTAAGTAGCCCTGTTATAGTGTCTCCCTAAAGATATATTTAAAATTTTTAATTTTGTGTGCAAACCTTTGGTGAAAATAGTTGAGTAGCCCTGTTATAGTGTCTCCCTAAAGATATATGTAAATCATATATAGTTGTGTGTGAAGATTTAGTGAAAATAGTTGAGTAGCCCTGTTATAATGTCTCCCTAAAGATATATGTAAATCATATATAGTTGTGTGTGAAGATTTAGTGAAAATAGTTGAGTAGCCCTGTTATGGTGTCTCCCTAAAGATATATGTAAATCATATATAGTTGTGTGCGAACCTTTGGTGAAAATAGTTGAGTAGCCCTGTTATAATGTCTCCCTAAAGATATATGTAAATCATATATAGTTGTGTGCGAACCTTTGGTGAAAATAGTTGAGTAGCCCTGTTATAATGTCTCCCTAAAGATATATTTGAATCTTTAATTTTGTGTGCGAACCTTTCGTGAAAATAGTTGAGTAGCCCTGTTTTATTGTCTCCCTAAAGCAGCGTTTCCCAACCTTTTTTGGTCGCGGACTATTTTCTCACCGGCGAAAACCTTTGCGGACTCAACGTGCGTTTATTGCAAATGTACTCTGCGTGAAGAAGTAATAAAACCAAACAGAACAGAATTTTAACAAATTCAAAATCGGAAATTCGCCGTAATTGCGCGGCTGTTGATAGAGCCAACTTTTTTAGTGTATGAATGGCCTTTTCTGTTGCATAATATTCAATCCATGACAACGACGAGAATATAAAATGTCTTTCTATTTCAATTTAGTTGTGTTCATGGTCACTCGCGGTTGCGTCGACTTATGACAAGATGAAAGCACTACTTCTCTAATGCCACGGCAATCTGCGAACATAATAATGTGAGAATATATTGCCCGATTATATTTAGTTTTAATACATATTTTTTGCGATCTTGCGAATTTGTTATCGCTGTTAGAAAAATCCTACTATCTGCTATAAATTTCCAGAAAGTACAATTTGATTTGTAACTTAATAAAAATATAATTAAAGTATTTTAGTAAATAAAAAATCGCCTTTTTTTAATATTAATTTAATTGTGATAATTTTAATCTGCGGTTGTGTTGACGAAATAGAAGCAATACTACTCAGAAAATATCATGACAATCCGTGGACACAAAAATGCGTGACAAAGTGCCCGATTATATGTTGTTTTGATTTGTATTTTTGTGAATTCGATAAATCTGAGCTGTTTGTATAACACTTACAGCGCTCCAGTACTGTGCGTACCAATGTAGAGGCAGTAAAGCAAGGCATCCTAAAGAAAAATGCCCTGATACGGTTACTACAGTAGCACCCGAAATTTTGCGATTTGCAATGTCTAAAAAAGCGTTTTTAATCAGTCGAAGACCATCATAGAACTTAACTTATGGCGTTTCCCGTTTTATTTTTAGTATTTTGTATTGCCGCTTTTTAATTTAGAAAATTTAGGTTGCCACCATCGACACCTACCAGAAAAGAAAATTATTCCTCGTTGTTCGAGCTCGCTAGAAACGCCACTTAGATATCTATCCACGCGTTTGCCGACTCGTGTTTTCGTCAGAAATCCGCAAGTGAGTTGTGAACTCCAATCGTTTGATTAGGCGACGCGCAAGTGGCCTGTCGCGTAACCTGTTACCAAATTTTCGAATAGTAAATTGCTATTTTAATAGTTGAATATTCGAATATATGCCCAGCCCTACTCAGTACCCAGTAATTATTGACTCGATTAATAGTATATGAATAAATTTGCTTTTTATATTTTATATAAATTGTAACCTAAATCGTAACTTTGTTAATGGTCAAGTTCCGCAAAAACGTTTGCGGCCCTCAGTGAATTTCTGGCTCGTTGCGGACTCATTCAAACGGACTCATTTGAGACCGCGGACTCGGGTTGGGAAACACTGCCCTAAAGATATATTTAAATCTTTAATTTTGTGTGCGAACATTTGGTGAAAATAGTTGAGCAGCCTGTTATAGTGTCTCTCTAAAGATATATTCTGTCACCCTATTAGCAAGCCTCACAATATTTTAACAAATTATCAATTTAAACATACCATCGTCTTCACCCAAACCTACAGCAGCTTTTATATCACCCGGTGCATCTTTTCGTTTTTGTTGAGCAGAATCTTGATTAACCACAGGACCATAGTAGTTCGCTGTGAAGAAATTGAAATATTTCATGCATTGTACAACCACGATAAATATAGCACGGTTAACGAGTTCTATGATTCTATATTTTTGTATTTTAACCTGGAACCTGCTCCAAAAACTAAATTGGCGATTTTTAGTCTTTTTTTGTTACAGGATAAAACATATTTTCTCAATTATTTCTCTAAAGCTGGACTTGAGTATCGAAATTAAAAACCAGGTCTTTATCCCCGACTATCAACTGATTTAATTAGTGCAAGTTTTCGGAGTCATTGTCTAAACCAGGGGTATGTAACATTTATTAGAAGATTAAAACAAATGAAAAATTTTATTCGCAGACCGCAATCAAAATCGGCACAATTTTCTTTGTGGGTCGCAGGTTTCAACCCCCTGGTCTAAACTCATTAATGCAGTTTTCATACGACTTCGAGTCGGAGGTATTTCTCACCGATTACACCCTGTGATCTTGCAAAGATTTTTTTTGTCAGAAATCCTCTCAATTCAGTTTTTAATAGAAAAAACAAAACACTTACTTATGTTCTGTGTCGCAATATGTTGGTCCCCAAAGTGAGCTCGATCAAACTTCCCTTTCGGAAATGAAACTGAAAGAAACGATTGTATAAGTATTGAATTATCTGGAATAACTGGCAAAATTTCAAGTTTTTACATTGCTTGTGAGCGCCTATTTAAACATAACTGTTAGATTAGATTTTTTTGTTTGATGGGAAAATATTTTAGGTGTTGTCGAGGGTCACTGTAAAATGTTATCGAGCCCCGCGGGCCACCTGTTGCACTCCTCCACTCTAGAGTAGGCAAAGCCGCTTTTCAATTAACAATGATATCATAAACTTTATCGATTTATTATGCTGGAATAATAGATTTCCAAGTTCCAAACTGCATGACGAAGATCCAAGGCTCCAAGTACGTTGACTAATGGTCACAGGCGTGTCTAACTTTTGTTTTGCCAGAAACTGGTTTCTGGAGATAGTGCCCTTCATACCTTTACCTTTTCATAACTTTAATTTAGTAGATTATACATGACAACAAATAAATTAAAGGTCATGTAAGAGTGAAAAATTTGTATTTAAATCAGGGGTGTGCAACCATTATTACAGGAGGGGCCAAATACAAGCAACCAGGTGAATCCATTAGCCAAATCTCTATATAAGATAGCCTTTCTAGTAGATGAATCCACAAAAATTGTTTTTTGTTCTTACAGTATTGTTTGAGAGGGAGTGAGAAATTGTGAGTGAAAACACATAATTTCTTAAGAAAACTACTAGTTGAATATATTAATATGACAGTGACCCTCGGGTACTGTTTTAGGCTTTTCCATGCAAAAGTATTGGAATTGCTCGCACATACTAGATTAACAAAACTAAAACTTTGTTTTGCGGGCACACCATTAACAGTTGGCACTTCTCCAAGGGCCGCACAATTATTTCTTGAGGGCCGGAGTCTGCACACCCCTGCTTTGAAAAATAAGTCGCGTCACCTGATACAGGCTTTCCTGCTCCTTGAGATCCAAGTACAGCTGAAACTTCGGAACTGATTTGAACTGTAAAAAAGAAATCAAAGCAGGCATTGAGGTGGGTCCACTGACACAAGGTAATTTAGAAAAGCAAAGCAGTTTGAAAACTTATTGCAACTCATTGTGTGTGCAGTCAACATGTTCAGTAGATGGATGGATTGGGACCATATACTCATCCCTATTCCTAACCTGCTGTCTATATGTCAGCCCAATAACCCTGTATGAAGAAGGCAATTCAAATGGTAATTGGGACCATATATCCATCCCTATTCCTAACCTGCTGTCTATATGGCAGCCCAATAACCCTGTACGGAGGAGGCCATTCAAATGGTAATTGCGACCATATATCCATCCCTATTCCTAACCTACTGTCTATATGGCAGCCCAATAACCTTGTATGGAGGAGACCATTCAAATGGTATTTAGAACCATATATCCATCTCCATTCCTAACCCTCTGTCTATATGACAGCCCAATAACCCTGTACGGAGGAGGCCATTCAAATGGTAATTGGGACCATATATCCATCCCTATTCCTAACCTGCTGTCTATATGGCAGCCCAATAGCCCTGTATAAAGGAGACCATTCAAATGGTAATTGGGACCATATATCCATCCCTATTCCTAACCTGCTGTCTATATGGCAGCCCAATAACCCTGTATGGGGGAGACCATTCAAATAGTAATTAGGACCATATATCCATCTCCATTCCTAACCCTCTGTCTATATGACATCCCAATAACCCTGTATGGAGGAGACCATTCAAATGGTAATTGGGACCATATATCCATCTCTATTCCTAACCTGCTGTCTATATGGCAGCCCAATAACCCTGTATGGAGGAGACCATTCAAATGGTAATTGGGACCATATATCCATCCTTATTCCTAATATGCTGTCTATATGGCAGCCCAATAACCCTGTATGGAGGAGACCATTCAAATGGTAATTAGGACCATATATCCATCTCTATTCCCAACCCTCTGTCTATATGGCAGCCCAATAACCCTGTATGAAGGAGACCATTCGAATGGTAATTGGGACCATATACTCATCCCTATTCCTAACCTGCTGTCTATATGTCAGCCCAATAGTCCTGTATGGAGGAGGCCATTCAAATGGTAATTGGGATCATATACTTATCTCTATTCCTAACATGCTGTCTATATGGCAGCCAAATAACCCTCCTATGGAGGAAACCAGGTTTCTAGGATTCTGTTTCCAGAAAGATGAAGCCATAAATTGATGATTCCGGCTTCAAATAGAAAATCTCTGATAATTTTAGCATTTGCAAGCTTTTTTTGCGTTCGTTCAAGTCCATGCATTCAAAACATAATTAGCTAACTAATGTCATACCCGACATGGACTGGTAGGTGGGCTGTGGTTTGTCATATGATTAAGCCGTCGCACATACTTTTCTATCCTTGGATAAATATGTCAATCCTATCCCTATTTACAAGTACACTTGCAGAAATGTTACTCACTAGCTCCACCTGGTGCCAATGCTCCTTCTGACTCATCAGAGTGGAACGGTTGAGCCTTAGATGACGCTTCCCCTTCTTCTGCGAATCTTTCAGCTAAAGAATAAAATCAAAGAAGAAATTAGAATACTTCACAGAAGCCTGCTGACTTTCCTCTCCCCAGGGTAATCTACCACAGAGTACGAGACATGGAAATCTTATACTTATTCTTATACATATATCACAAGCGTCAGAGGGCGCCAGAGTTGCACAAAATTCGATATGAGTACCAGGGTAAGGATAGGACATAAGTTTATTCCGATTTTCCTTATTTTCAGTTCTATTATGAGTTCGTGGACTGTCTTTGTTGACCAAGTAAATACCCCACTACCCATAGGTTTCAGTAGCTCTAGACAACTTGATGTAAACTAGGCGGACAAAATTAGTTACCTCCATATTGGTACACATACTTCTGGAGAGCCTACAATTCCACCCACAGAGTCAGAGTACGAGACTTATCTATGTTCCCTAGTTCTAGTCCCTGATCCATCGAGCCTTCAGCCAATTCATGGGATTCTTATACTTGGTGAGCGTTAATCATATTTACTAACTTCCAATTCACGATTCTAATTAATTACATTTTTAGTAGCTTTTGTTACCTTAGTGGCTGCCCATAACAAACAATTTTTTTACGAGGGGGACTAATTAGGTGGCGATGTGGATCATATTGCAAATTTTACACCTGTCTTGAAGTGTCTTGTATGGAAATTTAAAGTATCGTGTAGAACAGTGTCAGTAGCTCTTGGCCCTCAGTAGCCGCCCACAACTTCGCTAGGAGCAGAATATCTTTTGCTTCAGAAAGAGGCTAGAACGGCATGACCTTGTTTTGAGCATATTTTCATACAATGGAAACAAAGTTGAGCAGAAATCTTTTCCAACACTCACCAGGTTCCTGCTTTCCTGGTCTTGGATCAGCCTGAGATGGCTCAGCATCAGGTCTGAGTGGTTCAGCATCAGGTCTGAGTGGTTCAGCATCAGGTCTGAGTGGTTTAGCGTCAAGTCTGAGTGGTTGAACATAAGGTCTGAGTGGTTCAGCAGCAGGTCTGAGTGGTTTAGCGTCAAATCTGAGTGGTTCAGCGTCACCCGCTCTCTCCTCATCTACAGGAAGTTCCATTGGACGAGGATGCAGAGGAGGCTGATCTGTATGGAAAGGATAAATCAGGATGAGATTTTATTCATATATTGAAGAAACTCTGTAGCGAGGATAGAGGCTCTGTGGTAAGATGCTATTATTGTTATCTTATGGCATTGTTAGGGGTTCTTGCAGAAATTTCTACATAAAACTGTTATTTAAATTTATTGCCAATATGACAGTCGCCTTTAGGTACTGTTATAGGCTTTGTGATGCAGAGGGATTGGAATTGCTCGCACATACTCGATTAACTAAACTAAAAACTTGTTTCGCAGCCACCCCATAAACAATTGGCACTTCTCCGAGGACCGCACAATTTTTTCTTGTGGGCCGCATTTGGCCCATGGGCCACAGTTTGCAAACCCATACTTTAAATAATTAGTCACGTCACCTGGTACAGTCTTCCCTGCTGCTTGAGATCCAAGTACATTGAAAGGAGCTTGAACTTCAGAACCGCTTTGAACTGTAAGATAGAAATAAAAGTAGGCGTTGAGGTGGATCGTCTGACACAGGGTAATTATAAAATAGTAAAGCAGATTTACTACTGTCCATATTGCAGCCCAATAACCAAGTCCCCCCTTTGTTGATTTGCAAGTCTAGCCCCAGCTTTCCAAATTATACAATTCCGACTATAAAACACATCATCTTGTTTCATATTTTTGCTCAAGAAAACAAATTTGTGTCTGATTCAAGTCCACGCATCCTAAACATAATTGGCTAACTAATCTCATACCCGACATAGACTGATAGGTGGGCTGTGGTTTGTCATATGATTCAGCCGTCGCACATACTTTTCCCTCCTTGGATAAATATGTAAATCCTATCCCTATTTACAAAAATACTAGCAGAAATGTTACTCACTAGCTCCACCTAGTGCCGATGCTCCTTCAAACTCATCAGAGTGGACCGGTTGAGCCTTAGATGACGCTTCCCCTTCTTCTATGAAACGTTCAGCTGAAGAAAGAAATCACAGAAGATCTTAAAATACTTCATACGACAGCCATCTTATCGACTTTCCTCTCCCAAGGTAATCTACCACCAAGTTACAATTCCAACCACAGAGTGCGAAACTTATCTATGTTCCCTAGTTCTAGCCCTTGATCCATTGAGTTCTCAGCCAATCCATGGGATTCTTATACATATTACACAAACGTCAGAGGGCGCACAAAAATTCAGTACTCTCGTAGTATGTGTACCAGGTTAGGGTTAGGTCATAATTTCATTCCCATTTTCCTTATTTTTATTTTATTACGAGTCCGGGGACTGTCTGTGTTAGCCAAGTAAATATACTCCTGCTCATAAGTTTCAGTCCTTTTACACAACTCGTCGTAAAATAGGCAAACAAAATTTAGTTACCTCGATATAGGTACACATACTTCTGGAGCACCTACAATGCCACCCACCGAGTGCGAGACAGTAATGTTTCCTAGTTCTAGTTCTTGATCCACTGAGTTTTAGCCAATCCACGGAAATCTTGTACTTGGTGAGCGTTAATCGTATTTACTAACTTACAATTAACTATTCTAATTATTAACAGTTTTAGTAGCTTTTGGAATCTCAGTGGCTGCCAATAACAAACAATTTTTTTACAGGGGAGACTTCTCAGATGGCGATGTAAATCCTATAGCCAATACACCTCACTTGGAACGTCTAGCCCAGTGGTTCTCAACCATTTTTCCTTTTGTGGCCCACTCTTGTTGCCCAAAATATTCTGTGGCTCAAAAACTTTTTCATGCAAAGGAAAAACCACAAAAAAAAAATTACTTGCTCTTTTTGCGCTTCCACTAGCTTGAAGAGTCTTGTATGGAAATTTAAAAATAGTGTCGAACAGTGTCATTATCTCTAGGCCCTCTTGGCTGCCCATAATTTTGGTAGGAGAGAATATCTTTTGCTTTGGAGTGAGTGTAGAACAGGGGTGGGGAAGGTTTTTGGATCAAGGGCCAAAAATATTGCCCACCTAGACTGACGGGCCATGTAATTGTGACGCAAAACGTAATATTTTATGGATATGGAGTCTTACAGAAGCATGAAAGTGGAAAACAATCAGTCTCGCGCCAAAACTAAATTTAATCGCAATATCAACAAATTCCTTGAGGTATTTTTACCTAAAACATCAAAATTTGGTTTTAGTTTGGTTGTGGCAGCATCAGGCGGGCCAGATTGATTTATCCAACGGGCCGTAGTTTGGCCATCTCTGGTCTAGAACGACATGACCTAGTTTTGAGCATATTTTCTTACAATGGGAACAAAATTAGGCAGAAATCTCTTTAAACACTCACCAGGTTCCTGCCTTACTGGTCTTGGATCAGCCTGAGATGGCTCAGCATCAGGTCTGAGTGGTTCAGCGTCACCCGTTCTCTCCTCAGCTACAGGAGGTTCCATTGGACGAGGATGCAGTGGAGGATGATCTGTATGGAAAGTGTAAATCAGGATGAGATTTTATTCACATCTTGCAGAGACGCTGTAGTAAGATGCGTTATTCTAGAGCAGAGGTCACCAACCCGTTGCCCGCGGGCACCAAGTCGCCTGCAGGGACCATATGAGTCGCCTGCTGGTCTGTTTTTAAATAACTGAAATAACGGCACTTATTAGTAAGCTACATCTATTAATTTTATTCTTGCTATTCTTGTTTAAACTTTATATGAAAAATGGAAATGACAATATATTAATTGTTGAAACGGTCAGCCTTTTCTATAGGCAGGGTTGCCATTGACCTAGAGCCAGAAATAAGCACGGGTGACTAAAGTTTATTTTGGGGGGTACTTAACAACGGCAGAAAGGCAGATTGAAAATGAGAAAGGAATCATACACAAGTCTCTTCCGCACTCCAACTTTTTATTATTAGAAGTCGCTTCGAACAAGGTTGCATGCGGCCCCTAAATCGCGCAAGGCCATAGAAAACCATTAAATAACGGCCACACGCAACCTCTAAAATGTAAGAAGCTACAGAAAAGTAAGCAGGTACACACAATAAACATCCAGCATTCAACATCTTGCACATGAAACAACAACCCAAAGGGCGTCTGCGCATATTCAATGAGATGCGCAGCCATCTAACCCAAAATGTGGGTAACAAATTGATTATTAAATAACATAAACACATAATTTTAAATTAAACACGTTGCGTATATTAAAAATACATCGTCCCTCGTTTCTACGGAAGCTTTGTACGCAAAACATAAACAAGTCATTCATGGTTCTAAGACAAAATGAGCACGTAACTCAAAAATAAGCTCTTTTCTTAGAAATAAGCACATCGTTACTTTATAAGACACACGCTAGAAAATAAGCACAAATCTTAGAAATAAGCACGGTATGGCAACCTTGTCTATAGGTGACATCGATAATGTCACATGTCATTCCAAATATGACATCACACACACTAGATCAGCTAAAGCCATGCCTGTCATTCATTTCCAACCTTTTATTTAATGAAACTTGGCATTGTTGAGCAACGTTCAGCCTTGATGTGGGACAGATGGAGCTTAAAATTGTAACTCTGCCAAATGACCTCATAGCCAATCAGGGCCTGTTCACACTTTAGGGCTCTAGTTGACAAAGAAAGTGTCGTGGTGTATGAACAAGACTAACTCAAAGTTTCGGTGTCAAGTTGCAAACTAGATATAACACAAGGGTGGAGAACATGCAATACCAGGTGTCCCACGTACTGAGGAGGAATACACCAGATTTGGTCTTGGTTTAAAATATGATATTCACGATTTGTTAGATGTGTTGGTAAAATATAACATTTGATAACACAACTACTTTTGATAGTTTCATGAATAATTAACATTATCAGTGTCTCCTTGGCTAAATATCATTAATATTAAATTGGCTCTTCAGAAGAGCGCTCTTAGCTTAGTCGGTACCCAGAAAGTAGCCTGCTGCTTTATAAAGGTTGGTGGCCCCTGTTGTAGAGGCAAAGCAAGAGTATCTAGATACATTTTAAGCCTTTTCAAAGGAGTTTTGACCAACTGCATTAAGCAGCATTATGGGGCACTTTTGAGTGAAAATCAAATTTTACTCCAGAACGGAGTGCCCGCCTGAAACCTTTGGTTGTTAAAATCACTCATTAACGAGGATTGATATATTTCTGTATTGACTGTCTAGCAGTGTTCACTATTAGAGCACTTTTTCACGAAATCAGTTGAAACCATTTTTAATGAGTACAATCCTTCTTAGAGTATTTAAAATTGTTTAACCCAAAACTATGGCCCCTAACTTTCGCACTCTTTGTTTTAATTGCGAAACACCTTCGCATTCATAATTTCATTAGAGTGAACACTGCGGGTATTTCTGATATTAGGAGTTTTGTCTAAATCAGTAATTTAATGTCTGGTGTTAAAATCTGTCTGTCAGATTTGAAAATTCCATGAAATTGGAACAATTATCTGGACAGCTCTGTTAATACTCAATCTGGGCTGTAACTGGACAAGTGAGAGCAGTGAGGTTTACTACTGCATTGATTATAAGCTTCTACCTTGCTAGAATGAAGTTTCTTTCACAATTGCGACTTGAGCTGAGCCATCAACCCCAGATAACTTGTAAATCTGGCATCCACAATCAAGTTGCCATAACAACAGGTGTCAGTGGAACTGTATTTAAGTAACAATTTACCTGGGTGGGATTCTCCTCTTTCATCCATGAAGGCCTTTACCAGTTGCCAGATTTTTTCAGTTGTTGCTGAATCTCCTGTGTTATTAAAATAGAAAATGATGAATCTGCTATTATGAATGAATCTGCTATTAAACTTTTGGCGCTCCAGAATTGTGGATGTGTACCAATATGGAGGTAACTACAAATTTTATGTCCACAGATGACCGCCGTATCTTAGAGTTGTTATGCATTAATTTATTCATAAGGTTGACGTAACTGTGAAATACGTTAAACACAATTAAATTAATACAATAAGACATTTTGAATGCTCTTATTGTTCACGAATTAATTTTCCTTGAGGGCCGCATTTGGCCCCCGAACAACAGGTTAGACACCCCTGATTTAAATCATCAAACTAAGCAACAAACTAATCCCTATGAAAAGCGATTATTACACCACCATGAAATTTCTATGTCAGTTTTCTTAAGTCGAACAATAAGACACAACAAATATCAAAGCTTTACCGTTTTTCAATTTCCACAAAACGAGCAAATCCAGATTCCTCTCTCCCACATTTTTTGCATTTTCTTTTATGTTTCCAACCTCGTGCATACTGAGCGATAAACCTTTCCCAGACAATGCGAATCTTTGGAACAGTGCAGCGTTGTCGAATACTTTAGGAACTGCTAGGAAAGCATCCTCGATTCTTGAACCTGATAAAGAAACGGATTCAATTACATTTGCATATGAAGCTAATTATTTGAGGGACACAGCGGTTAAATGCTATAGGTCAATGTCTTATGAAGTGTTGTTGGAAAAACCCAGCATTTTGAAGTTGAAACAAAAAAAAATAACCTTAGTTTTTATATTTCCTGAAGATGAAAACCAATAAAATAATTTATATATAGCATAATACAGTATAAACAGGGATTTTGAGGAAAGCAATACCAGAGCAGACATGGAGACACAATGGTAAAATCAAATAGCACATCCGATATGAGTAGGGTGACCATATTTTTGTGACTTCAAAGCGGGACGCCTCCAAAGACAACGACCCCTTTACTGTGATTTTGTAACTTCACATTTTCCTATTTTACTACATAGGGTTACTTTTCAAATCATCCCGGCTGTCCTCATATTGTCATCGAGAGTTCATGCGCAAATTCTCTGTCCAAATATCAGCCGCCAGGTTCAGTTCGAAAAATAAAAAGGAATTGACGCTAACAATACAAATAATTCGAATTTCAATTTTTTATGTACAGCAAAAGAAAGAAAGAATAGTAAAATAGCCTGGCGATTTCAAGCATTGAGAATTTACTTCGCCAATCATGCTTTTCTGTAGATAACACCTTCCTCAAAAAGACGTTGTTCAATGTTACATGTGATACGTTCGCTAAAAATGTTAGCGGAAAACAACGAAACAAACAAAATAACGCCTTCACCTTCAGCAAGTAGCCTAGCGCTGCGCTACATAGCAACAACAATAACGAGAACATGTTAATTGGTAATGTTCGTGTATTATGCTGGGTGGCTGAACGCCAAAGCGGGACTTTTGGCTGACTGGTCGGGACGGCTGGACAAGACGCTAAAAAGCGGGACTGTCCCGCCTAAAGCGGGACGTATGGTAAGCCTAGATATGAGCATACATGAAATATAATGTCAATCTAAAAAAGAGGGCGATGCCCAAATATGCGGACATGAAGGCCGAAACATAGTTGTATGGGTATGAAGTGTGCGATGACCACTTCGCACACAGAAAAAAACAATCCCTTTAGCTCCAATAACTTATTTCAATCAAATCAAGTTATGGCAATACTCCAATCGCAAAAAATAAAATCTTTAACCGCTGAAAATTTCATAACGATTGGACAGTCGTTATTAGTTTTTTTTTTGTAGAGAAAAAAGAATGAGAAAAAGTGCCGCTTGCACATTTTTTATACGATGATACCAAGTAATGGAAAACCCCCCATAACTTACCAGTGAAACCACCTCCCTCTTGCCTGAAATGTTGCTTAAATACCTCTGCTATGTTGGTAGGTGACGCTCTAGATCCTGAAACACAAAGAAGTTGGAAGTTGTTGAAAGGTGCTTAGTCTTTGAAAATAGTTATAGCCTCTATAAAAAGGAAAGATATTTTGTGATTAAAAAAGACTATTTTTAAAAGAGACAACTTCCTTGGTGTTTAAAAACAATTTTGTTTAATGAGAACCAACCATTTTTTTCTTTCCAAAGATCAAGCATTCCAAACTTTTTATCTTCAACAGAATCAGGATTGTCTGCAATGATTGTTGAAACTTCTCCAGCACTGAGCCTGAGACCATTTCCAGCCAAGGCAAACATTTTGAAATGAATGAACGACGTGAATTTTCTTGCAATGTCAGCGAAAACATCTTCAATTCTGCTGTCGCCTAGAACAATGAATTTGAGTTGAAAATGGGGAGAAAGATATCCAAGTATCAATATTTATAGTTTTATATTTAGTTTTATTTTTTACGCAAACTGGACCATCACTCAGTGGGGTGGTGGCTCATGCTTTAGAAATATGCTTGCCACTGTACCCTATGTGGGTTCTCTGGTTGGAATCCTTTGGGGAATAATTATGTGTGAGAGAATTGCTGGATTCTTCCCTACCGCAGGGTGGTTCACGTAACCACCGGTAGGTTACGTCTTCTTTCCACCTACAAGTCCATGCATTCGAAAACAAAGTAACTTTAAGACGCATGGACTTGATGGCGGAGGGAACCCACCCTACAACGGTGAGGGGTCCAGCAATCCTCTCGTACATGATTATCCTCCACAAGATTTGACTTGTAAACCCACACAGGGTAATCAGAGGTGCGGTGGCGAGCGTATCGTGCGCTTCAACGCCATGAATCTTATTTAGACAAAAACATGTCATGACATTTTAGACATAATCTTACTGGTGGTTGTATGTATGTAGGTGGTGCTAAAGAGATGCCTGCACCCCAAATTACTGATTTAATTTCTGGTTTGGTTCTTCCATGTTTAACAACAGCGGGCCACTTGACATGGTAGATATGTTTTTGTTTTTACTACACCGACTACAGGTTGATGAAAAAAACGAACAAAACCATCGCACCGAAATTACAACAACAATGAAAATACAAAAATACAGTAAAGTCCAAGGTTTTGACCACACACAAATATTTCAATGTGAAGTATGGCCAGCGCCGGATTAACCATTGAACAATATGAGCACGTGCTTAGGGCACCAAGCAAAGATGGGCACCACAGAAATTTTAGAGCAGAGGTGTTTATTAAAATATTTCGAGTTCCCCAGACGACTCAAACTTCAAAATGTTCGCTTATTTTCCGTCTTCAAGTATCATAATAACCTTCTTCATTAAAAATAAACACCCAAACTTATTTATTGGACACGAAATGGGCCTATGAGTCGTTTTCTTAAATTGTTATTGTTTTTTCTTTCTAGTATTCTCCTTGTTGCTGCGTTTTTGTTTAAAAAAAATCTCTTTTCTCTTCAACAATCGGACCAATGAACTATTTGCATTATGTGGCGGTTCCACCATCGCATTTCAACGGTCTAATGGTCAGCGAAGTCGGGAGTTTTTTGATAAGGTAGACCAGGGTGGTTCAAACCCTGTCATGCTGATACATTCTGTGCAGCCCACAGAAAAATTTTAGCGTATATTTGTATCTAATAGCCAAACGATTTTGAGTTTTTTAGCTATTCTAACTGGGGTTGGGATCCCGAGATGCAAAACCTTTTTTTCTAACTCTTTGTGTCTTTATTTTAGTGAAAACACTCCTCTGTTTTCAAGCGTGGGCCATGTGACTATAGTGACGAAACGCAGAGCCGACTTAACGCCGCGCAATCCAGTTTTTTTTAGCTAGGTCCCGAAATACCAACTTAGACGGACTTGGTTGGTATTTGACGTTGGCACTAAGCTTGCTCACGCTTCAAGTTTTTAGATTACTCTAATATATCAATTCGTAATAAAATGAGTCACGGGGAAGGTGACATAAGGAAAACACGTCGAAAACGTATTTCCTTGCCCATCACACAGTGTCTGGTTTGATTTCAAGTAATATCTGTCACGAAAGAATGTAATTTGAAGCGACAGTAAACGTTAGATGCAGAAAATACTACGGTAATTCTCGGGAATTAATTTTTTTAAATAACTGAAGGCTTTATATATATTCTTTAAAAGAACGCCACCCATGCAACAAAATAATAGTCTGATTAGAACGGCAACCTCTCGTTGTTTATTAAATTTAAAGTAAGTAAACTCTCGATATTTCGATCACTTTTGGGTTTTCTCCAACTTGCGGCCCGCGAGACCTCCTCGAAAGTTTTTGAACCACCGTGAGGTAGACTACTAGCTACCGGTAAAATTTCAAACTACAGCTGTGACTTGTATCCTTTGGTATTTCGATTCACAAGTGAATGCATTGAGACTGGAGGCATGAATCTTTATTGTCACACTCCCTCAGGATTAAAGCTCAACCGATATATCAACCCGATATTGCGTGTTTGCCGATATATCATATCGGCAGTAAACGGCCGATATATATATCGACTATATATATAACAGTTAAAAAACAGTTAAAAATAGTCGTAAATGTTGTTTTATTTACTGTTGGTTGTGATTATTTTTAATGGATAATACACTTATATGTGATTTATTGTTTTTATAATTAAATTACTCATAAGGGGGCACAAAAGTCTTCAGTGCTTAGGGCACCAAAGGGGCATAATCCGCCCCTGAGTATGGCACTACTTTTACTCAGCAAGTTTGTTAATATTCGATGCGATGGACGATGTAGCAATGCAAAGCGAATTTTTTATATGACTGTCAGAAATTAGTGATCTCATGAGTGAATTGACATGGTTCATCCGTAAAAAAGCTTACTCGTACAAGTAAGTGCTGTTAAATATTGAGGTAATGAAATTGTCTCTTCTAGATTCACAGAAGAAGGACAGAAAAACAGATTGAAATACATGACAGACAATAAAAATATATTCAAAATTTATAGGTTTTCTGCTCTCACAGGGATAAATATCCAAATCTTATCCATATTTAAAAAATTCTGGCAGAAATGTTACTCACTTCCTCCATCTGGTGCCGATGCTCCTTCAGACTCATCAAAGTAGAACGGTTGAGCCTTAGATAACGCCTCCCCTTCTTCTATGAAACGTTCAGCTAAAGAAAGAAGTCAAACAAGAAATTAAAGCCTGAACTACACAGCTAGGTCTTGATAGCAAAACACCCCACACCAAAAATTGATATGGGCCTATATATATAAATATTGAGAAAATTAAATGAGAAGTGGTCACTTTTTACATTTTCCACGTTGTACATTTTTAACGCAAATCCGAAATTTCGATTTCATATATTTAATGGGTTGGCCAGAGTCCAAGTTTGGCATTTTTGTGATATTTGCTTTGGTGCAGCAATTGTATATTTAAACTGGATTCAGCTCAGAGATTGAGTTGGTGTATTTTTTGAACGGCGCAGTAATATGTAAATGTTTCCAGCCCTACTCTGGAATATTATAAACCAGCGCTTAATGAACCACAACACATATTTCTATGACAACAATGATGTCATAGTACCGTAATATTCTAGATGACTGTTGAGAGAGTAAATAGATAGCGCTAAAGAAGAGATCCAACATAACAATTGCAGAAGTTGTAAATTAGTTGGAAAGCGAGGATAAGAAATTTAAGGAACATTCAAATGCATCTGCAGAATGGTAATTAATTGGCAATAATATAAGGAAATCAAGCATCGCTATATTTTTAAAATTCTATTCTGAGATATGATTTTTCCACCAATGAGTTATTGCTTGTGCACCCAGTAAATCATCTTGTATTACCTTGAGAGAATCCAGGTTGTTCATTGTTTGTTCCAGGCTCAACCGACGATGACGCACTATTTTGATTTCCCTGCGATGAAACGATCGTTTCGGCATCAGTTTGAGATGAATCTGACAAAGAAAGTTATTCATAAGGATTGTGAATGCATGAAATTCCTTAATTATTCAGCAAATATCAGTCAGAATAAGATAAGGAATTTTCAACAAGTGGGCAATGGCCGACTCCTGGGCCACAGGACATTTTCAAGTGGGCCACAGACCCATTTAAGCTAGAGCAGAAATGGGCAAGGTTTTTAGACCAGGGCCCACCAATTTTGTCCACCTCCACTGACGGGCCATGTAAGTGCGACTTAAAACAGAAATTTTATTAATAAAATTTGCAGTGTCACAAAAGCAAAAGTGGAAATCAATAAACCTCGTGCTAAAACAAATTTAATCGCAATATCAACAAATTTTTTGAGATTTTTTTTAGCTAAAACACCAAAATTTGGTTTTAGTTTGGTTGTGGCAGCATCAGGCGAGCCAGATTGAATTACCCAACGGGCCGGACTAGACCTGCGGGCCATAGTTTGTCCATGTTAGACTTGAATGACGATGGTATTTATGCTACTGAGTGGTAATTCTCATTTCAGTTATGAAAGTGGAAATGTCTATCATTTCGAGAAGCATTTATTTGTTCTCCTTCAACTGCAAGTTAATCAACCACTTCTGTGCGGCATGCAAGAAAAAAGGTTGACTGTTCTTAGTTTAACAATACTGTCAAAATTTTATGTATTTGATTATAATTAAAGATAATCTTTATACAGATTCGTATTCGAATCTAAACTTGCGGAATCCCTAGAATGTCAGGTTGAAATAACGCATCCCGTTTGAAAATCATTTATCTGGGTGTTTCAAAAACTCTTTTTGCTTGTTATTTGAGTGAGCCAACTGCCGCGGAGCAGATATCACCCATCTGGAGTTGCCCAATTTCAAAGCCCATAGAGCAGTGGTTCTCAAACTTTTTAACCCCCCCCCCCTCTCTTTTTAGAATTGGTCAAGACTCCCGCCACACTTGAAAAAAGTGCTAACAATAAGCTACAAAAACATATAGTGAAGTGAAAGTATGTAAATATCCAGAATAAGGCGAACAAGATCAAATTTACCAAATATTTCACGGCCCCAAAAATTGTCTACGTCCCATCGTTTAAGATCCACTGCCATAGAAGGCCATAACACAAAACTCGGAGACGGTTTCTCAATACTTACCCATAATGAAGGATGATTCTCATTTCTCGAAGTCGCTAAATCTTTGTAAAATAATAAAATATAGGAAACTGAAAAAAAAATAGTTGATTAGAAATTGAGCATGACACGCGAATAAATGAATTCAACAGTCAAAACATGCTCAGGCATTCGCGCGGAAAACGGAACTTTACTTCATACAGAACGTTACTTCATATAGTCTTTTGATATCTATTCAAACCCTTTCATTCTTATCCAATTCACACAACCCTATGCTACAAGCCCAATGCTTCAGATGTATAAATGTGCCATTGGTCAGATAATT